CAGGTGTAGAAATAGCCACAACAAAAGCCTGTTCTCTCTAGCCAAAGAACCAGGAAAGGGGCAGCAAGGTGGAAAATTTAATTGCTCCAACACCAGAGAAAACACTGGGGGCCCCACCCTCACCCACTCAAGTGATGTCAGAGTAGAAACCAGAGACTTTCATCCCCCTCCCTGCCCCCACAATATTATCAGTGGGAACCCTATTCCAACCCTGCCCAGGAGTAATGAGGTCGCACCCCACCCTCCCAGGCAGATTGCAATCAGTGGGGAACTTTCATCCAGAGCAGTAACAAGGAGTGCCTGCTCTGTACACATACCCCTACAGAGCAAAACTGAGGCAGTTTTGCCCCCCAAGCAGTTCTACTCTGCTGAGAGATTTAAATAAAACTGTGTCTCATAACTTGACCCCCTAAATGTCCCAGCAGCAATCAAAGACCTCTCATTAAGAACCAGAACAATCTCAACTTAAAGAAATGACAATCTATGGACACAAACCCCAAGATGACAAAGCTGTTAGAATCATCTGGCAAATATTCTAAATGAGCTACCATCAAAGTGCTTCCATGAACAACTATGTACATGATTGAAACAAAGGGAAAACAGTCTCAGCAAAGAGAGAGAAAATATAAGGAAGAAAACAAATTCACAACTGAATAAATGGAATAATGGATGGGTTAAACAGCAAAATAGAGAGGACAGAAGGTAACTGGTGAACTGGCAAAAGAAATTACCTAATCTGAAGATCAGTGAAAGAGACTGAAAAAATATGAACAAGGCCTCAGAAAACATGGGACTATAACAAATATCTAATATTTGTATCATCAGAGTCCCAAAGAGAGGCTGAAAAAAAAAATAATGGCTGGAATTTCCCTAAATTTGGCAAAAAGAATAAATTTAAGACATTCAAGAAACAGACCCCCCCAAAGAAACATACATAACCAAACTTGAAAACTCAAAGAAAAACCTTGTGAGAATTAAGAAAAAGAATGCATTATATACCAGAAAATTAAAAATTAAAATTAACTTTGAATGACTACAGTTCTCATCAGAAACTATGGAAGTCAAGAGGAATTAAAACAGTATTTTTTTTTTCCTTTTCCTTTCCTTTTTTTTGGGGGGGTTGGGTACTAGGGATTGAATCCAGAGGTACTTTACTACCGAGCCACATCCCCAGCCCTTTTTATTTTTTATTTTGAGGCACAGTCTTGCTAAATTGCTTAGGTTAGCCTTAACTTGTGATCCTCCTACCTCAGCCCCCAAGTCATGGGATTACAGGTAAGCACCACCACCTTCAGCCTGACACAGTATTTTTCAAGTGCCAAAGGAAAAGAACTGTCAATCTGAAATCAATGTACCCATCAAAATATCCTTCAGCAATGAAAAAGGAATCAAGACATTCTTAGATGAAGAAAAACTAAGGATTTGTCATCAACAGACTTACTCTAAATGAATGGCTAAAATAAGCTCTCTGAACAGAAAGGAACTGATGAAAGAATCTTCAGCCTTGGCAAACTTGAAATAAACAAACAAACAAATAAGTAAAATGGGCTGGTGATAGGGGATATAGCTCCGTAGAGCACCTCGGGTTCAATTTCTAGTCCCACACACAAACACATATACACACACTGAAAAGAAGAACCTTGAAACACTGATGAAGGGAGAAAGAACAATGAAAAGAACAAATACATGGATAAATACAATATCCTTGAGTTTCCTAAACTATGTTTGACAGTTGAAGCAAAAATTATGTCACCAGGTACAGTGGCACACATTTGACCTCAGGAATCCAGGAGGCAAAGTTCAAAGCTAGCCTGGACAACTTAGCAAGACCCTGTTCTCCCCAAAATTTAATAAGGCTCAGTGGTAGGTCACTTCCACCCCAGGATTGAATACCCAGCATCAACAAAACAAAAACAAAGATAATATAAATATCATTTTAATATAATTTTAAAAATCAGGAAAAAAATCCAATTACAAAATGGGCAAAAGATAAAGACAGGCATTTTAAACAAAAGTATATACAGATGGACAAGTAAACACCTGAAAAGATGTTCAATATCATTTACCATCAGGGAAATGCAAATTAAAACAAAAATGAGACATTACTACATATATATTAGGATGGTTAAAATAAAAAATAGTAACATCACCAAATGCTGGCAAGGCTGTGAAGAAAATGGATTGGATTATACATACATTGCTGGCAGAAATATAAAATGATGGCAGAGTGGCACACACTTATAATCCCAGGTATTTCAGAGCCGAGGCTGAATGATTGCAAGTTCTAGGTCAGACTCAACAATTTAGGGAGAACTTCATCTCAAAATAAAAAATAAAAAGGGCTGGTGATATAGCTCAATAGTAGAGCACCCCTGAGTTAAATTCCCAGAAAGAATGAAAGAAAGACAGAAGGAAGGAAGATAGTACAACCATTCTGAAAAAGTTTAACCATTTCTTTGAAAACTAAGCAGGCACTAGAGATCTAGTGATTGCACACACACTTGGGCGTTTTCACAGAAAATGTCAACTTACATTTACATAAATACCTGTACATGAATGTTTATAGCAGACTTATTTGTACTAGCTAAGGAATGGAAACAGCCCACATGTCCTTCAATGGATGAATAGTTAAACCAACTGTGGTATATCTACAGCTTGAATGCCAGAAAAAGGAACAGTCACCAATAACACACAATCATGTGGATGAAACTCCAGGGAACTACGCCCAGTGAAAAAAAAAAGACCATCTCAAAAGGCTGTATTAGTGCCTTTATTTGGCATTCTTGACACACCAAAATTATAGAAACAGTGAACTAGTTACCAGGAGCTGAGGGCAGCAGAAAAGTGGATATGGCTATAAAAAGGCAAGAGGGGGAATCCTTGTTACTTCTGTATCTTGAATTTTATTAATGTCAACATCAGCTTAAAATATTTACTGTAGTTCTGCAAAATGTTACCAATGGAGAGAAGTGGGAAAAACAATAGTGCAGGATCTATGCACTATTTGTTATGACTATGTACAATAGATTTGAATGTATAATTTCTCAAAATTTCATATTACTCAAATTTTTCAATAATTGGTACACTCATCTTAAAAACTAAAAATGATACTGTAAAACAGCACTCAAAGGAGTCACTTTTAATTGATCTCACTCCTCATGCCCTAGTAGGGGCACATACTAGACATATAAACATGGTAAATATTTGGCACTTAATAAATTATGCTTTCAAATTTAAAACCAACAAAAATTCATATGAGTATGAATTTCTGAGACTCAAGTCAGGAGTGGTGGCACATGCCTGTAACCCCAGCAACTCAGGAGGCTAAGGCAGGAGGATTTAAGTTCAAGACCAGCCTCAGGAACTCTAATGAGACCCTGTGTCAAATTAAAAAAAAAACGTTAAGAATAACTGAATTGGGGCAGTGCTTGCATAATTGTGAATTTACTACAAACTACTGAACTGTGTGCTTTAAATGGGTAAAATGTAGTAAATGTAAATTATATCAAGTGAATTATACCTCAATAAAGCTGTTATTTAAGGCAGGGAGTGAAATATTAAAAGTACTCTCAAAAAAAAAATAATGAGGATACTCTGATCTGTTCCAACTTCCCAAGATCCAGTCTTGAACTATTTTACAAAGCTACTATAGTGTTAAATATTTCCCTATTTTTGACTATTGCACCTAGTGTCACTCAACCTAATGTAGGCTCCTGAGAGCAACGTAACTGAATAGACTCCAAGTGCAGGACTATAAGACCAGGCACAAGGAAATCCCTATACTGTATGTTCCATCTGACTAGTATCAAGGCAAAGGGGCCCACAGACAGAGGTGGAACATGCCAAGGTCATGAAACCAAGGAAAAACTTGGAAAAAACCCTTTACTTCACTTGCTTTTACTTAATGCTTTTATCACCAACTTCAAAGGTCATGCAGCTGAAGCAATACACTCCTATCAACTTACATAACATCTGACATATGCGTCACGAAGCCTACAATGTTTTCAGGAATTTCTGTGTATCTGAAACTGTCTAAAAGCATCGATCCTATACTTAAGCCTGCACAGGTGTCCGATAAGTGACCTTTTGACGTCAGAGTGAAGAAATCTCCACCCTTAGACGAGGCTAACGCCGCCATTTTCTGAATGTGCGTCCAATTTAGAGCCAGAAGTTTGATCACGCCAGCGCGAAACCACTGATTACCGCATTTCCCTCATCTCTAATCAGCTGCCCCATGGCCAAACCAACCTGCTTCTTTATTCCATAAGTATCCTAACCTCTATTCCCAAGGCACAGATTTGACGCCAGATCTCCTGTCATCAGAGCTTAGCCGCCACATTAAGAGACTCTTGCAAAACGTATCACTTCAGTGATGGCAGACTACCAGGTGGGCAAGAGGGGCCTGGCGCTGCAGCAATCAGGGTGAGGGCACCGCGGCATAAGTCCCCTTAACTCTCCGCAGGCAACTCTCCAAGTTCACGTCGCACACCCTTCCCGAGGGAAGGGAGCGCGAACAGTTTCTATCCGAACTTCGGCCAAATCTACACAGCACCTGGCAGCCAGTGGGCCTGCAAAGAGAACCGTGAGTGCCGTGAAGTGAGGCCGACAGGCCAGCGCCCCTGGACAAAGGACAGCACACTGGAGGCCGCGGCTAACACGGACCGTCACGCGACGGCAACGCGACCTTGAGGTCACCCGGGACACCGCCCGCTGCCAATGGCGCGCGGCACTGCGCCCCGCGCGACCCCGGCGCTAGCCGGGCCCGCCAATCTCCGCCCGCCGGGCGCCCCCGCCACGTCATTGGCTGCCAAGCCCGTCCGTCAGGCCCCGTCCCCTCCCACTACCGCCGCCCTCAATCAGCCCTCTCCGTCCGCTCAGCTCCGGGCACCTCCGCTCCCGCAGCTCCAAGGACGCGGCGACCTCGCTCTCGGCCGCGACCCGCGGTTGGCAAGCGCTTGGTCCCCGGCGCGGGGATGGGCCCAGCGATAGCGCACAGTTACCTCTCTCCGGCTCAGCTCCACCCGAATGAGACACCTACACCCCGCTCCGGGGCACCAAACTCTCGGCCCCGCCCCAGCGTATGGCGTCAGCACGCAGCTTGGTCTCGGGGAGGCCCGCCCCTCGTTGTGGGCGTGGTCGTGACGCTACAAAGCCTACTGGCGTCACGACGCCGACCGCGCTATTGCGGAAGCTGCGGCGTAGGATCCCACGTGTGTTCGCACCTAGAGAATTCCAGCTCTTCCCTGGTGATGACAGTTAAATAAAAGTATGATGTTTTCAATATCTGTTAGGAGCCCGCTAAATGATAGTGAGGTTGGTGTAAAATTTATCACTAAACAAAAATAAATAATTTGAATATCAAAATCTACGTCGATCTCTCATTTTGCGTGAAGCTTTGTGACAAGCGCTTAACCTGCGCTATTGTGTAACAGCCGCAGTCTGCACGTGACAAAAGATAGTGCCGGGACCTAGCCCGGTTTGTCCTGGTTCCATACCCAACTACCGAGAGAGGGAAAACGCCACTAATCTATCGCAACCTGAACCCTATTGATCGTAAGACGCTCCCAATTTAAAAGTTGAAATTTGGAAAATGTTGTTTCAGAATTAATGTGATTCAGTAAATTATGTTGAATTACGTACGGATAACGTGTCCTTTGCAGTTCGTCTTCACCACAAGCCTGGAAAAGCTTCATTTCGTGCCTATGTCTTTAACTACAAGCTTCTATCCTTTTGACAGATCAGACGTTGAGTTCAGAGATTTTAGAGGACAATAATATAAAGCTGTGCCTTAAAGTGCTTTGTTTTTTATTTTATTTATTTATTTATTTATTGTACCGGGAATTGAACCCAGGTCTACATCCCCAGCCCTGTTTTGTATTTTATTTAGAGCCAGGATCTCTCTGAGTTGCTAAGTGCCTCACTAAGTTGGTGATGGTGGCTTTGAAATTGTGATCCTCCTGTTTTAGCCTCCAGAGCCGCAGGGATTACAGGCGGCTGTCTTGATTTTTGACAGTTTATCTTTGATATATGTGGCAATGATACTGGTATTCCCATTAATTATAAAGTTTTCTTTTGTAATAAATGGTTCTATTTAAAGAATATATTAACTAGGGCTGGGGTTGTAGCTCAGTGGTTGAGCGCTTGCTTCACGGGCATGAGACACTGGGTTCGACCCTCAGCACTACATAAAATAAATATAGATATATATTACTTCTACAATTAAAAATTTTTTTAAAAAGAATATATTAACTAGATGTTAGTATGGAAAGGTCACACCCAAATGACAAACAGGGAAACAATGTTCCAGGCTATATTGAATATTCTCTTAGGTATACTTTCCCCACAAAATAATGAACTACTTTAAGGACTGTGTCCTGTAGTACAGTAGTAGATATTGGGGTCACAAAGGGCATGACTATGACTAGCAGGATAGTTCTATGGAGGACACAAATATCTGATTCTGAGCCAGTATTACAACCACTTATTAATGTTATAGACTTAGAACAATTTCTAAAAGGAAAAGAAAATTCTTTTTTTTTGTTTTGTTTTGTTTAAATGGGGAGTATAAGTGCTTGTGAGAGCAAAGTAGAGCAGATGTATGGGACAAAGATCTAGAGACTAGGATAAGGTGAAAGGACCAAAAACCAAACACCAATATGCAGTTTTCCCAATTTTTATAAGAGATCATGGTATATATTAAAATTGGGCATTTTAGCCAGGCACAGTGACACACACCTGTAATGCCAGCAACTTGGGGAGCCAAGGAAGGAGAACTGGAGATTCCAGGCCAGCCTAGGCATCTTAGTGAAAGCCTGTCACAAACTAAAAAAATAAATAAAAAGGGCTGGGGATATACTTCACTGGTAGAGTACCCGTGGGTTCAATCCTTAGTACTGGGGAAATATTGGCACTTTAACTAATTTAAGTATTCAACTCAGTGACATTAATTGCACTCTATAACCATAAAGTAATAATTTTCCATTTACCTCCTTCTTTCCCTCCCTTATCAGCTCTTTAAACTTTTTATAAATTTGAATATTTTAGTTATATCATGTAAGTGGAATCATGCAGTATTTGACCTTTTTGTGTGACTTAGAGCACTCAGCATAATGTTAGCATTCATCCATGTTGTAGCATAGATCAGAACTTATTTTCTTTTTATGGCCGATAACATTCCTTTGTATGGGTATACCAATTTTTTTATCCATTCTCTATTGATGAATACTTGAGTCATTTTTACCTTTTGGATATTGAGAATAATACTACAATGAACACAGATGTGTACATATCTGAGTACCAATTAAAACGCTTTTGTATATGTATATCTAGGAGTGGAATTTCAGATCATAATGGAATTCTGTCTAGCTTTTGAGGAAGTGATAAATGTTCACAGAGCAACTACACTATTTTACATTCCCATCAGCAAAGAATAAAGTTTCAGTTTCTGTACAATCTCACCAATACTTGTTTTCTTTTTAAATAAATAAATAAATATATGTATATGTGTACATATATATATTTTTTTAAGTAGTATCTGGACACAATGCCTTTATTTTTACGTGATGCTGAGGATCAAACCCAATGCCTCACACATGTTAGACAAGCACTCTACCACTGAGCTACAACTTCAGCCCGCACTTGTTTTCTTTTTAAACTTTTATTATAGCTATCTGGCTGATGTGGTTGAGTGTGTACCTAGGATGTGAGAGGCCCTGGATTCAATCCCCAGTACTGCAAGAAAAAAAAAGAATATTATAATAATATTTTATTATAGCTATCCCAGTGGGTATGAGCGGGTATCTCATTTTTTTTTTCTGTTATTGATGGACCTCTTTTTTTTTAAAATTTGTTTATATGCGGTGCTGAGAATCGAGCCCAGTGCCTCACCCATGCTAGGCAAGCATTCTACCTCTGAGCTATAACCCCAGGCCCTCATTTTGGTTTTGATTTGCATCTCCCTAATGACTAAAATATGGAGTATCTTTTCATGTGCTTCTTAACCATTTGCATATTTTCTGTGAACTATTTAAGTCATTTGCCTATATTTAAATTGGGTTGTTTGTCACTTTGTTATTGAATTGTAGAAGTTCTTTATATGTTATGGATATCAAACCCTATCAGATGTATGATTTACAAATATTTTCTCACATTTTGTATGTTTTCTTTCTTTTTTTTTTTTTTTTTTTTGGTGGTGGTGGTAGTGGTGAACCCAGGGCTTGAAGCATGCTAAGCAAGTGCTCTATATTGAGCAAGATCCCCAGCCCATATATATATATATTTTACCTTCTTGCTAATGTTCTTTGATGAACAAAATCGTTTTTTGTTTTGTTTGATGTGGGGGGTCTCACTTTGTTGCCCAAGCTGTGCTCAAACTCCTGAGTAGCTAGATCTTCAGGCATGTACCACCATACCCAGATAGTTTTTAATTTGCTGCTCTTGTTCCTGAGAAGCGTATCTGGACAGCCCAGGACCTACAAGAAACTGATGGGTCTCTTGGTAGTGAAGTATGACTTTGATGACATCACAGGATCAGAGGGTCAATAAGAACATAATGGTAGAGTGGTGGAACTGTTTAACCATGACCAGTGGTGATCTCCTCTTTTTATGATCTAGATGGACTGAATGAGGTACCTGTCATTGAGCAAGGTTGTATATGCTGCTTCAAGAGAGCACAGCCGGGCTGGGGATATAGCTCAGTTGATAGAGTGCTTGCCTTGCATGCACAAAGCCCTGGGTTCAATACCCAGCACCACAAAAAAGTAAATAAATAAATAAAAGAGAGTGAGTGAGTGAGCGAGTGAGAGCACACGCATAGCCGCCATATACCCAAGTTCTTACCACAGGAGGCTCTTCAGCACCTGCTCACTAGAGACAATATTCTGGGAAGACTTATTCATTTGCCATTGAGATGTAAAGACTAGAGTTGCAAAGATTCACAATAGAGTATTGGTATGTGGCTTTTGGAGGTGGATAGAAAGCATCCCTTCTACTCACTCTAAGGCTTTTTGTGGCCTCTCTGCACTTGATCTCACCCACAAAAGGCCAAAAATTTATAATCCTGATGTTGCTCATGTCATTTCTGAGAATCCATTGCCAAATCCAAAGTCATGAAAATCTAACCCTGCATATAGGAGTTTTATGGTTTTACCCCATATTTAGTTTATTTATTTATTTATTTGAAATGAGGTTTTGCAGTTGCTCAGGCAGACTTTGAACTCCTAACCTCAAGTTATCCTTTTGCCTCACCCTCTTAAGTAGCTGGGACTATAGATACATGGCACCACAACTGGCTTATTTCCATTTCAAGTTAATTTTTTGTATATGATGTGCAGTAAGAATCCAACTTCATTCTTTTGTATTTGGACTTTAGCTATCTCAGTGACATGTATTGAAAAACTATTATTTTCCCCCATTGAATGGACTTGGTACCCTTTTTGAAAATAAACTGGCCATAGACATTGAGCTTATTTCTGGACTCTTGATTCTATTCTATTGATCCGTATGTCCTTTTGCCATTAGCATTGCTCTGATTACTGTAGCTTTATGGTAATTTTAGAAATTAGGATGTATGAGTTCTCCAATTTTATTCTTTTTCAAGATTGTTTTGGCTATTCTGGACCTATTGAAATTCCTTGTGAATTTGATGATTGGCTTTTCCATTTTTGCAAAATGTTGTTAGAATTTTGACAGGAGTTGGGAATAATGATACACTGCTATAATTCCAGTGACTCTGGAGTCCAAGGCAGAAGGATGACAAATTCAAGGTCAGCCTGGGAAGCCTGGTGAAACCCTGTCTCAGAAAAAAAACAAAAGCTAGAGAAATAAAAAAGGAGATATAGCTCAGTAGTAGAGCACTTCTGGGTTCAATCCCCAATACTACCAAAAACAAAAAAGGTTTTTTGACAGGGATTCTATATAGCAATATTAGGTCTTCTAGTCCATGAATATGTCTTTCCACTTTCATTTATTTAGGTCCTCAATTTTTTTCAGCAATGTTTTATAGTTTTCAATTCACACATATTTCACCTGTTTGGTTAAATTTATTCCTAGTAGGGCTTGGGCTATAGCTTAGTGGTAGAGCACTTGTCT